ACAATTACAGTGTTATTGAAGCACAGAAGTAATCATAGACAATACTTAACCCAATGGGTATGGTTGTGTTCCAATAAAACTTAATTTTTAAAAAACAATAGGCCATATTTGGTCTGGGAGTATAGATTCCTGACTCCTGAAGTTAAGGTTTATACTACAAACCCTAAAGCAACTACTAAAATAACACAACAGAATGTTATATATAAAAAGCCAACCAAAGACAAAAAAATGAAATTGTGAAAAATAATTAAAAATAAGGCAGAAAAAGAGGGACAAAAGACAAGGTAGGACACAAAAACCATAAATAGATTTAAACCCAACTATATCAATAATCATATTAAATCTAACATCCCCATTAAAAAGCATAGATTTTCAGACTGTATAAAAAGCAAGGACAATGAAATGCTACCTTAAGTACTGCACATTGAATGTAAAGACAAATAGATTAAATACAAATATGAAAAACAATATACCAAGCTAACACTAATTACAATAAAGCTGGAGTGACTGTATTAATATCAAGGTAGATTATAAAGCAAAAAATAATAGCAGAGATAAAATAAGTCATTTCAAAATGAGAAAGGGTCAATTCACCAAGAGGGAATGATAATCTTAAAGGTTTATGCACTTAATAACTGAACTTTGAAGTAGATGAAGCAAAATTTGACAGAAATTCAAGAACAAATAGATAAATTCATAACTATTGTCAAAGGTTTAAATACCTGTCTCTCAAAAATTTATAGAACAAGTAGACAAACAGTTAGGAAGAATACAGTAGACAATATCACTAACAACCAACTTAAACTGATCGAGATTCATAGAACCTTTCACTACTCAAAAACAGAATACACATTCTTCTCAAGTACACATGAACATTCACCAAGATACACCATATTCTGAAGCATAAGACAATTTAAGTGAATTTAAGAGAATTCAAGTCATACACAGCATGCTTTTTTTCCTTATATATTTTTCCAATTCTACTGAGATGTAAATGACATATAACATTGTGTAAGTTTAGTATGTATAGTGTGTTGATTTGATACATGTATATTGCAAAGTGATTCTGCAGGGTTAGATAACACCTCCATCATGTCACATAATTACCATTTCTTTTTTTTTTGGTGAGAACATTTAAGATCTCACTTAGCCACTTTTAAATATAATACAGTATTATTATCTGTAATCACCATGCTATCCAATAGACTCCCAGAATTTCTTTATCTTATAGCTGGAAGTATTTACCCTTTGACCAACACCTCCCCATTTCCCAGGACCACCCCTCTTTATTCCTTATACTGAAGATTATCAATATAAAGCTGGAAAACTAAGACTAAGTTATACCATAAGATTACACTTATCAGCATTTGAAGTTACATTGTTTCTGTAATGCTTTATGACCACAATAAAATTAAATTAGAAAGCAATAGAAAGTTATCTAGAAAATGCCTAAATATTTGTAAATTAATTAGCATACTTCTAAATGCCGTATGAGTCAAAGAAGAAATAAAAGGAAATTAGAAAACATCTTGAACTAAAAGAAAATAAAAACATCACATATCAAAATTTACAAGATGATGCTAAAGCAGTATATATAGAGAAATTTATAACACTACACACTTATATTAGAAAAGAAGAAAAGGTCTCAAATCAGTAACTTCTGCTCCCATCTTAAAAACCAGAAAAGCTAGTAAAACACAAATTAAGCAGAAAAAATCAAAATAAATTAACAAAGATTAAAGTGGAAAACAGTGAAATAGAAAACAGAAATACAATAGAGAAAATCAATGAAACCAAAAGCTGGCTGGTTCTTTGAGAAGAACAGTAATATTGATAAACCTCTAGCAAGACTAAACAGGACAGAAAAGGAAGAAGACACAAAATACCAACATCAGGAATGATGATACCAACATCCCTAATGATTCTATAGCTATAAATAAAAGATAATAAGGGGATATTATGAACAATTTTATGCCAATGAATTCAATAACTTTGATGAAATGGACAAATCACTTAAAAGACACAAAATACCAAAGCTCGCTCAAAAAGAAAGATGAGTAACTCCAAGTATATTGAATAAATTGACTTTATAGTTAAACACCATAACATTAAAAGAAAAAAACTACAGGCCCAGATGGCTTCACTAGTGAATTTTACCGATCATTTAATGACAATTTGATATTGTACTCTTACAGAAAATTGAAGAGGAGAAAATTTTACCCAACTCTTTCTATGAAACTAGGATTGCTCTGACACCAAAACTAGACATAAACAACAACACAAAAAACTACAAATACCCCTTATGAAAGTAGATGTAAAAAATTCTTGACAAACTTTTAGCAAATATCATCTAATAGTATGCAAAAAGGATAATACATCATGACTACATGGGATTCACTCAGATACAAGGTGCTTCAACATTGGACAATCAATCAATGTAATTCATCATATTAAATAATTAAAGAAGAAAAACATATGATCATCATTTTAACAACTGCAAAAAATGTGATTGAGAAATCTAACATACATTCCTGATAAACACTCTCAACAAATTAGCAATAGAAGGGAATATTCTCAACCTGATAAAGAACATGTAAAAAGACCTATAGTTAGCTTTGTAATTAACGGTGAAATTATGCTTCCCCCCTAAGATCATAAATAAGAAGGTCAGCTCTTACCAATACTTTTCAATACTGAACTGGAGGGTCAAGCCAGTGTAACAAAGCAAATAAATAATGCCCATAATGGATAAGAAATAAAACTCCTTATTTGCGCATTACAAATAGAAAATTCTATTTGTAGTTTACCAAAAAGCTGCTAGATAAAACAAGTAAGTTTAGTTAGACTGTGGGATACAAAGTTCAACATACAAAAATAGTAATCATATTTCCATCCAATTTGAAAATAAAATTAAGAAAGTAATTCCATTTACAATGACATTTTAAAAGAAAAATACTTAGAGATAAATCTGACAAACGATGTGCAAGACCTGTACACTGAAAATGACCAGATATTGCTGACAAATTTAAGAAGACTTAAATAAACTGAGAGAGAAACCATGTTCATGGATTAGAAGACTCAATATTGTGAAAATATCAATTATCTGCAAATTGACCTACAGATTGAATGAAGTCCGAATCAAAATCCCAGCAGGCTTTCTTTGTGGGAAGTGAAAAGTTGATTTTTAAATCGATATGGAAATGCAAATGACCTAGAAGAGGCAAAACAGCTTTCAAAAAGAAGAGCACAGCTCGAGGATTTGCCCTACCTGACTTCAAGACATATTATAAAGGCACACTCATCAAGAAAAGTTGTACTGGCATAAATACAGAAATAAAACAATGGAACATAATAGAGTGTCCAGAAATAGATTTTCACATATATGGTCAATTGATTTTCAACAAAAAATGCAAGGTAATTCAGTGGAGAAAGCATAATCTTCTCCAACGATGATGGTAGAACAATGAAATATCTATATGCAAAAAAAAAAAACGGACTTCAACACATACTTATCACCATATGTGAAAATGAACTCAAAATTGATTATTAACTTAAACGTAAAACCAAAAACTACAAAACCTCTAGAAAACATAGGAGAAAATTTTTGTGACCTGAGATTAAGGAAATATTCCTTAAACAGGACCCCAAAAAGCACAATTTATTAAAGGAAAAAATTATGCATCAGAGTTCATCAAAATTAAGAACTTCTGCTTTTTGAAAGACACTGTTAAAGAGAATGAAAAGCAAACTATAGACCAGAAGAAAATATTTTCAAATATATACATGGCAAAGGACTTACCATTCCAAAATATACAGACTCTTAAAACTCAGTAAGAAAACAACCCAATAAAAAAATGGGCCAAAGATTTAAACAGAGATTTTATCAAAAAAGATAGATGTCAAATATCCATGTGAAGAGATGTTCAACATCATTAGTCATTAGGGTAGTATAATTCAAAACTACAATAAGGTACCACTACACACTTATCAGATATCCAAAATTAAAACAAGACTGACCATATGAAGTGTTGGTAAGGATGTGGAGCAACTGAAACTCTCATATGCTGCTGGTGGGAATATAAAAATTATATAACCACTCTGAGAAACAGTTTGACAGTGTCTTTAAAATAAGTTAAAACATATATCTACTATATAACCCAGTCATTATACTCTTGGTATTTAACCATGAAAAAAAAACATATGCTCATACAATCACTTGTACATGAATGTTTGTAGCAGTATTAGTAGTATCCGGAAACTGCAAGCGACCCATATATCCCATCAACAAGTGAATGAATAAACAAATCATTGTGTATCCATACAGTGGAATACTACTCAGCAATAAAAATGAACTACTGATACATGCAACAACTTCAATGAATCTCAAAATAATTATGTTAAGTAAGTCAGATAAAAAAATACATACTATATGATTCAATTTATATAAAGTCCTAGAACATGCAAGCCAAACAGTGACAGAAAGGAGATTCAGTAGGGGTGGAGCAGGAGGGAACCATTACAAAAGGGCACAAGAAAATTGTTGAGGATGATAGATAGGTTAATTATTTTATTGTGTTGATGGTTTCACAAGTTTATATAAATGTCAAAATGTATTAAAGCATGTACCTTAATATGTGCAGTTTGCTGTATGTCAATTATACCTCCAAAAAGCTGTTTTAAACATTAATAAATTAAACACTACTGCCAGAGGCACTGGTAGTTTTGAGTAGCCAAAGTCCTAGGCTTGCCCCTAACTACTTCATCCAGTTATTAATACTGATTTTGTGCCTAAGAATAATGAGTATCCCACTAAGATGATCTAAATGACAGGAAGACAGAAAATACCATTAACTGGTATATCCACTAAATACTATGCAACAAAACAAACAGAATAATTCTCATTTAAAATTTTCAAAGAAAAAAAGCAATTAGCAAAAGAACAAAAACAATTTTCTTAGTTTTATTTCAATAAAATATAGCAAAAATTTATAAATACTCACCTCTTTGGATAATCTTGTGAAGACATCTCCTCCCCTGAGAAAATCCAATATTAAATACAGCTTCCCTTCAGTCTGAAAGGCTAATTAGAAATTAGAATGCAGTAACAATTTTTAAGGCTTAAAAAGTTTAGTATACTTTTTAATTAATATTTATTGTCTAGAATTTTATCACTAAACACTATAAAGCAATTAAGCATTTACTCATATGGTCCATTATTGGATAATATTATCTCAAATTAAATCTAGTGTTGAAAAACCTATAAACTCCTTCCCAGAACGTAATCAACCTTGCATGTAGCTTTACATAGAACTTGTACCACCATTATTTTCCTTATTTATGGAGCACCATTTCTACTGCAATTGCCTGAACTCTGCCTCCCTACCTATTGAAAATCTACTAATTCTTTCAAGACCAACAAAAATGCCACTTCCTCTAGTAAGCTTTCTTCTATTAAGGATTTCCTCCTTTTCACATTTTCCTACAGCATCCTTATCCTCTTCCCCCATTAAAATTACTTGCTACTGCTTTTGAGATCTCATCATACTTTATTTATGCCTCCCTCATGATACTTAATCCATTTTGATTTATACAAATAAATTTGTCTTACATGTTTGTGTTACCTAAAGATCATAAATTTCTAGAGTTCAGAGAGTATTTCACTTCTAGAGCCCGCTGAATTTAACAGTGTTTTGTGCACAACTGGTATATAGTGATTAATCTAATGATACCCTGGAGATTTAAGGAAGGAGATCTTTAGATTCTACTACTACTTTCATTCCATTAGGGTTAAAGAGATTAAAAGAATAATGGGTGGGAAATTCTAGAGGGTTTTTTATAGAGAGTTAGGTACATATTTTAATGTGTTACTTGTCAAAATTACCTAAGAATAAAATCAATAGCTGCTATCTTTTAAAATCCCGAACACTAAAAGTGATGTAATAGATCAGATTAGTGATTTAACAGTGTATATGCCTTTGGATTTCCCAGGGAAACCAAATGCCACAATCTCATGCATACATTAAATTAGCAATGAAGCCATAATTAAAACTCAGAACTACATACTTTGGAAGAATTAATACTGTTAGAATAACCATACTACCCAAGGCAATCTACAAATTCAATATAACCTTATCAAAATACCAATGGCATTTTTCACAGAACTAGAACAAATAATTTTAAAATCTGCATGGAAACACAAAAGACCCCAAATAGCCAAAACAATCAAAAGGAAGAACAGAGCTGGTGGTTATCATACTTCCTGACTTCAAACTATACCAAAAGCTACAGTAATCAAAAAAGTATGGTACTGGCACAAACAGACAAATAGACCAATGGAACAGAATAGAGAGCCCAGAAATAAACCAACACACTTATGGTCAATTAATCTATGACAAAGGAGGCAAGAATATACAGTGGATAAAAGACAGTTTCTTCAGTAAGTGATATTGGGAAAACTAGACAGCTGCATGTAAAAGAATGAAACTAGAACACTCTCTAACACCATATATAAAAATAAACTCAAAATGGATTAAAGACTTAAATGTAGGACTGGAAACCATAAAACTCCTAGAAGTGAACATAGGTAGAACACTCTGACATATATCATAGCAATATCTTTTGAGATCTGTCTCCTAAAGCAAAGGAAACAAAAGCAAAAATAAACAAAGGGGACCTAATTAAACTTAAAGGCTTTTGCACAGCAAAGGAAACCATCAACAAAATGAAAAGACAACTTACAAAATGGGAAAAATTGCCAATGATATGACTGATAAGGGGTTAATATTCAAAATACATAAACAGCTCACACAACTCAATATTAGAAAAACAAACAGCCCAATTAAAAATGGGAAGACCTGAAAAAACACTGTTATAAAGGAGACATACAGAGGGCCAACTGGCACATGAAAAGATGCTCAACATCACTAATCATCAGAGAAGTGCATATCAAAACTCCAACGAGCTATCACCTCACCCTTGTCAGAATGGCTATCATTAAAAAGACCACAAATAACAAATGTTGGCAAGGATGTGGATAAAAGGGAACTTTTGTACACTGTCAGAGGGAATGTAAGTTGATGCAGCCACTGTGGAAAATAGGATGGAGGTTCTTCAAAAAAATAAAAATAGAACTACCTTATGATCCAGCAATTTCCACTCTGGGGAATTATATCCAAATTACATCCAAAAAAAATGAAAACATTAATTTGAAAAGATATATGCACCCCAATGTTAACAGCAGCATTATTTACAATAGCCAAGATATGGAAGCAACCTAAGTGTACATCAACAGATGGAACGGATAAAGGTGTGGTGTACACACACACACACACACACACACACACACACACAATGGAATACTACACAGTCGTAAAAAACTGAAATTTTGTCATTTGCAACAACATAGATGGACTTAAAGGATATGATGATTAGTGAAAAAAGTCAGGCAAAGACAAATATTATATGATGTCACATATGCGGAATCTAAAAAAATAAAACTAGTGAATACAATAAAAAGAAAGAGATTCACAAATATAGAGAATAAACTAGTGGTTACCAGTGAGAAGAGGGAAGGGGAAGGGATAAGATAAGGGTAGGGGAAAAGAAGTACAAACTACTATGTATAAAATAAATAAGCTACAAGGATATATAGTACAACACAGGGAATATAGCCAGTATTTTATAATAAGTATAAATGGAATACAACCTTAAAAATTGTGAATCACTATGCTGTACAACTGAAACTTATAAAATATTGTAAATCAAGTATATCTCAATTAAGAAAGAAAATCCTTAGAACTTTCTGACTCCAAATTCATGTTCTTTCCATTGTATCTTCTGCTCTCACTGGTATTCCTCTCCCACCAAATATAAGAAAAAATAACTCAAAGAGACTAATATATAATATGGTTCTTCTCAGCAGAACGAGGAAATAAAGTTAATATGCTCATTATAAACATGTAAGAGGAGTACATCCATAGACAAGAATGTTTTGAATAAATTATCACAGTAATTTATAGCCTAAGATCACTGGAGGTATAGCCTAGTAGAAGACAGAAATACTACCAGACAAGTAATCAGAAGACACTATCTTGTTACCTTAGACAAGTCAACCACCAAATACAGGAAACAGAACAAAAAGCTGGATATTGATTCTTATTTCAGATAAATACATTTTAAAAGTTGAATATATTAAATCATTCAGTATTCATTTCCTGTTGAAAGTATTTATCTCCTGTTATACTACTGTCTGAAAGGAAATCTTAGTTCTCTAATTCCATAATTTTAAAAAAGATTACATACCATAGTGCAATTTGACAATAAATGGATGATTTACTTCCACCAGTATATCCCTCTCCATCTTTGTCCGAACTCTGTCTCGAACTAAAAATTACAGAGGGGTAGACTATATTACTCATACATAATTTCAGTAGAGGCCCCATCAATTAATTCACCAATATGAAAGTATAAAATGTAACTTTGTAAGTGCCTAAATTTGCAAACTATATATTCCTAGACAGTAATTACCATATTCTCAGAAAGTCAACAAACTCAGTTTAGATCTAGAATGGGTCAAATGGACAAAGTTACTTGATGAAAAAGCATTTATTATATACTAGTCTCCAATTGTTCAAATGAGTTTATTAATTAAAATTGAGCACAGTGTTATCATTATCACACCCTAGAAGACTGTACATAAGTGTATGCAAGTGGTTTTGTGCTTTCTCAACATGCAATACCAACAAAGATGGAGCAGAAACAATAAAAATCTTGAAATAAAAGAATATAGCTTCATAAGTTCACTTTAAATTAAATAAAATATGTTACTTTTTATCCCGTTAAATTTTTCAGGGTACACTCCCACTAAATTAGGGTATATACCAATATCAAACTTAGAAATATAACTTACCACTAGAAAACTAACAATTACTAACATTAAAAGGAAACAATCTACTCCTACAAGCAATACACAGTATATTTCTTAAAACAAGCTTTACCAAATTTTATTTTAATAAGCTTTCTAATTTTCTACCTTTTAAAGAAGCTTTTTTTAACACCTTCATTGCATAGAGCTGCCCAGCATCAGGACCAGTCTTCTTTCTAACAAGAAAAACCTAACAGAGGAATTTGAAAAAAAATTAAATTCACATTCTAGCCATTGCTGCTATATGTACATATTAGCAATACATGTTGATCTTTCATTTTCTCTAATTTTAGAAAGATACACCTTTCTCTATAATTGTTTTTTCTTTCTCTATAAATTATACTTGGTTAATATTTTCTCACTTTCATTTAGTAAATCATACTCCCTTATGTACTCTTGTAGAAAAGAAAATTATAAAGAAAATTTGAGAAGTCTGTGATGTAAGAGATAAATAATATAACAAAAGACAATTTGAGCTAAGAGAGCTCCTTATAAGACCCAAGCTTTTTGTTACCTTAGTAAGGTGCAAACATACGTGATGACAATTGATTTGACACCCTCATTTCTACCTCCTATTGGTCCATTTTAGAAGTTATCAGGTATTTTATTTTCTAGTAAGAAATCAGAGACAATTCTCATCTGTCTGCCAGGGAGAAAAATCAAGATGGCAAATACTTCAATAAACAAATAAAAGTTAAACTATTTGAAGTTACCAAGTATGTTCAAGTAATAATATCTCATATTTTCAAACTAAGATTATGACTCATTAAAAGCTAAGTTTTAAAAAGCCCCAGTTACAAAGATAAATATGAATATAGCACAGTTTTATGAGTTATTTATTAGTAAAGGGTTGTTTCATTTTTTACAATTATTTAGTAAAATGTGTTCACTGCCTCAACCTGCCATCCTCAACTCTAACAAATTCTATTCAAGTGTTGTTTAAATTTAAAATGTGATCAAGTAACTAATTTGTTCACACAAAATTGCAGATGGGAGAGCTTTTGAGTAATTTTTGTCTTGCCTCTTTCCTAAGGTAGAGCTCAAAACACTTTATTTCAAATATACATCAGCCAAATGGGCAGGTGGGGGCGGGGTGTGGAATATTTACTTAATGGAATCTCTCCTCCTATCCTTTATATCAGACCTAAACTCGAAGACCATTTCAGGTTTAGAGTTTTCACATTCATCTTGTGTAGTACTTCTCACACTTTCTGTGTAGACCAACAAGTCTTCTTTTCCCTTTCTTCTAAATCTATTGCAGATCATACTTTTATAAAATATAACCAAAATGAATTATTTAGAAAAATGAAATTTAAATGTCACATAAAACACAACTGCATTTTATACTAAGAGATTTTACACATAAAATTACTTTGTCAAATTTCTGTAAAAGTTTCTAAATGCTTACTGTCAGTTTTTGAATATGTCTTACTGTGAACCAGTAACAATTCATACCACACTTGGAGTAGACTAATCAAGAGAACTCATATTAACAAATGGTTGCTTTTTGAAACATAAAACTATCTTTGGAGAAAAGAAAATTTCAGGGATTGAACAAAATCATAAATTTTGCGTATCACCATAAATACTTCTGTACAGAAAGAGATAACAAATTTAAACTACTACACTATGTTACTACTTTATTGTCTAAGATATACTCTAAATTCCAGCAAGATTTTCCCAAACAATGTAGAACCCCAAGAAAATGTGCATCTTGCAACAGAAGATTTTGGTAGCTTCATTCCATGAAGTTAGTTTTAGTGGATTTAAACTTGAGAGGATATTTCTAAAAATCCATGATTTTTCACTGATAAAAACAGTAAGCATATGAGTAAAGAGTATCAAATTGAACACACCTATAGTCTATCCTCAGTGTCCTTTATAACATAGACTCATTAGAAAATAAAATTAGTATCTTATAAACGAACAGTGTTAAATCGGGCTTTTTAATCACAGAAGAATTTCATCCTGGGTTAGGATACACACACAAACCAGCTTATCATAGGGTTCTAAATGTAATATAAAACCTACTGATTAAACTAAAGAAGTCATGACCCCAGGTGCGTATTTTCTTATCTGTATTTTTCAAGTTTGCAGTTCTTGGCCAACAAGTGGACTTAATACATATTTGTATAGCTGATTTAAGAAGCAGTCCATATCAATTTTTTAAACAGCAGACTAAATTAATTGCCATAACACATATTATTAAAGCTTTAAAGCTAAGCAGACAGCATTAACCCTAAGCACCAGGCTTAAAGTTTTCACTCAGTATTACTGATAAGGGCAAATAAATGCAGATAAACAGTTACCTTTTTCCTAATCAATATCATGTGACCAAGATGATGACAACAAAGGAGTTACACATCATTTCATGAGTGATGACTCCACCACAGGTAGGAAAACTATCTTTCTCAGTCCATTCCAAGAAAGCAATTCTCAACCTTTTTGGTCTCAGGAATACCTTACAATCTTAAAAATTACCAAAGATTCCAAAGTCTTTTGTTTTTGTGGGTTATATATATTGATATTTATCATACTAAAAATTAAAACAGAAAAATTAATTACATATTGAGTCATTAAAATAAACTTGTTACATCTGACTATAAACATTTTATAAAAATAACTATTTTTAAAACAAAAAAAATCAATGATAAGATTGACACTGATTTACATTTTTGCAAGTCTCTAATATCTGGCTTAATAGAAGACAACTGAATTTTTATATCTGCTTCTACATTCAATTTGTTGCAATTAAGTTGTTTTGTTTGAATTATAAGAAAATAAGGCCTCACAGTGATATGTATTTGGAAAAGGAAGGAGTATTTTAATAGCCTTTTCTTATAATTGTGGTTATTCTTTGATACGACACAAGAATTTGACAAGTGGCAGTTCTGTAAAGATTAGTTGCAATGAAGATTCTGAAACCACATCAATTAACTGTTCATATTCTGTTACATAATAATCCCTTGGTCTACCTTATACTTTGAATGGATTTTGTACTGATGTCTGATTTGATAACATCATGTATTGGTCATCTCAAAAACATTGGTTCACTGAGTTATGTAGCTCTTCCAAACCCTGACAGCAGCAATCTCATCAGGAAAGTCTTTGGAGTACTGAGAAGATGTTAAACACACAGTGACAAATAAAAACTTCCCAAAATCCTGATGTTTTGCTTCAAAGATCAAATTTTATATTGACAAAAGTATTGCCAGTTGTCTTCCACAAAATAGGTTCACTCCATTCATTTTTAAGACATCTACCAAATACTCAAGTTTAATTAACCATAGTTTGTCAACCATTCTTTCAAGTAAAAATGGTGTTCCATGAAAAAAGTGGCTAGTTTAGCTCACAACTCAAAAAACTGCACAGGTGCTCTGTCTGAGACAACCATCTTCCTCGGGTATACAGCTAAAATGCTTTATGTGTGTGTCTCATTTCATCACACAGTATTTTTAAAAAATGTACTCAAGGGTTGATATTTGATAAATTTAATCACTTAATACCTCATCAAGGACATTCTTAAGTAAAACTTGTATTTTTTTAAAACTGTGAGCATGTGACAGTGAAGAATATGATTACTGATAAGGTTAAAATCACTTCCTTGATTGTGCCAAAGTGTCAAAAGTTTTACAAATAATATCTTAGTATGATTATAAAATAGTCTTGACCTTGAGGACCCCCTGAAAGTGTCTTGTGGCTGCCCAGGGATAATAAAACCACACTTTGAGAACCACTGTTCTAGAGCACAGCCCTTGGTTGAGTTGAAAAGAATGGAGTACAGAGGGTAAAAAGTGGCAATTAAGGAAGAAAGAAAAAGATACTCTAGGCTTTCAGAAAGACACACAAAGCAGCCACTTTTCCCCTAGCTCATAAAACACTCACTAGTAGCTCGATATGGCATCTAATAGAAGTCATCATTCACAGTCTAGAGAAATAATTGTTTATTTGTTCATCACCTGATTTGTTCTTTTCAGGTCTAATGGGTGAAATTTCCTAGCATAAGAAAACAACGTCTCACTCTGCTCTCGTCCCATGATCAACTACAGAAGAAAGTTGCATTAAATTCAAACTACTGTATCTGAAAACATATCTATCCTGATCAGAGAGATTTCTTTTCAGTCATCCTAGTTCAATTCTCAAAAACTGTCCAGAAGAGAAATGAGTAAGTGAGTGAGTTACTCCAATATACTTTTCTCTCTGTCATATGTACTTTTATATTTTCCATTAAGAAGTGTCTGTTGAGGTAAACTGAAAAACTACATAGCTTTAACGGTGACTGAAGAGAAAGGACCAACTGCAAGGAACTTTAAGTGCAAACATACATTTTTAAAACTCTCTCTGATAATTAATCAATTACTTAAGAGGGCAAAGGTTCAAAATTTTCAAAACTTCACTTTTAAGTCTTATAGTTAAAGGCTTTATTATCACAAAAGCAAAAAAAGGTTATGATCCATGAATGTTGAAATGTATGCTTTGTGTAAATATGCCTTGGCATGTGAAATTTAAGAGTAGTCTGATAACTGCAAACATGTTTTCATATGTTTTATTTGATTGTTTTAAAATAATCAATGTAAGTTGTCTGGTATACTACATTTCAATCCACACATTAATGATCATTAATAGCATTATACTCGGTGTACTTAGTACAGATTTTCTTTTACACATCATCTTTTATGATGATAATGTATGCTTCTTTAAAGTACAATTTTACAACTGACTCTAGTAGGGTTTTTTCCCCTATTAAATACACTAAAGATATTTAATATTACAAAGCTTAATGTAGGCTAAATTCCATTTATTGCATTTTAACAATGGAACTTTTACAGAAAAACTTATAAATAAGACTGCAGCCCAAAGTTTCTTGGAATTGCTCCTACACTTTTCTGATTCACAGCCTTGGCCCAATTCCTGAATAGGTCCAGCATATAACAAGTCCCACCCACACAATGCCTACGCAAATGATGTAATACTGACAAGCAAGTACATTCACATCCTAGGTAGAAAATAAAAATTAGCCGCCTCCTTAATATTTCTTTGGTTAATGAACTGCACAAAGATCACTATTCTGTATTTCAGTATTAGGAATTTTAAAAAGGTTTCTATGATATCCTTGTTAAACCAAAGTTCCTGCACAAAGCTGAGTGTTCCCTGAATTTTTTTAAGGACTGCACTGACAACTTTGTCAGCATGTTGCTATATTTAATGTGAAGATGTTATTGAAGACACTTCATTATGTTATATTGTATTCTCTTTACGAAGCCCCATGAGAAAAATTTCTCTGGTCTATTTGATCTGTTTATTAAAGATACTGTCAATAATCATACAATTAAATACATCAGCTTCTTTATAATGTCTGTCAAAAATTTGTCTTCACTTTGGTCCTACTTCTAGGTCTTCATATCATGTATTTGTGAACAACAGAGTGTATTCCTGGCTTCATCTAATCTTTCCTGCTCTAATTTTTCTGCTTCCAGAATCTTCCCACTTACTTTTAATTTTATTTAGTATTCATCTATGAAAGTCTTAAATCCTTTCTGGAACAAAACTAGATATAAATATATACACATATGAATCAATATACATATCAAATGGCAAAACAAATACTTTTAGGCTTGAAATGTTTACCTGGTGAGATTTCTATTTAAGTCGATATTTAAGCATTTATATACTGGGATATAAAAGAACTTCATTTCTGTTCTAAAATTAACATCATAAAAATATAATTTGAAATATTTAAAAGACTATTGTACTTCTAGTAACTTTTAAAAATAAAGGTGTGTAGAATGTACATGCCTACTCTATAGGCCAGTTCTATAAATATACCTCCTCCCCAACACAGACACACAATCTATTAAAAGCTCCTTCTAGTTTTACTCTCCCCAGCACAACTATTCAAGTCCTGTCTGCTTGTCTCCATATACCACCTGTACCAATTCACTACTAAACCATAATCTCCATCTTAGGTTGTCTTTGTAGTATCCTGAAAATGTGTCTCTATATTTTACATTGTATTCTATACCACACACATACAAGATTACTTTAAAACAGTTAATGCCTATTTTATATTCACCTATGCTGCTTTTAAACTGTTATGCACACACCAGGTGTTCAATAAATATCTTTCTTTTAAACGGTGTTTTTCGGGGGGAAGGAGGTAATTAGGTTTACTTTTTTTTAATAGAGTTACTGGGGATTGAACCCAGGACTTTGTGCATTCTAAGCACTCACTCTACCACTGAGCTATACCTTCCCACCCCTAAATGTCTTTCTTTTAAAATGTTTCAGAGCATAATAAATAAGCAATCCTCAACTGCCTTACCTTCCACTTTGAAATTAAATCTCAGCCACCCTATAATTTTCTCATTATCTTCCTCCCCTTAAATTGCTGTTATTGCTGTTTCCTATAGGCTGTTACTTAATGTGTATATGCGATATATTTCATGTTTCAAATGTTGGGGTACAAAAGTCAGGAACCCGATCTACATACTTCTTTTCCAAGAATCATATGCCATTAAGCACTTAATAAACCATTTTAATAATGAATGTCAGTTTATCTTCCTGAATTTTGCTTTCTCTCTTGAAATTTAAGCCCTTTGAAGGCAGGAGTTTCACATAATCCATGTATCACCCAGTACTTACCATTGTTGTACTTTATACACATACTTGCTTTAACAGATGATAGATTAATCCATGTATTCATACATGAATTAATAGGTACATTCTGAATTCTGTGATAGAGCTAAGGAATATAGATGAAATCACCAAAAGAGTGCAAGCTGAGATCATTCTAGCATGTGAACAGAGAAAAGACCATCTTCACAAAACTCAAACTATGTTGATTTAGGCAGCTAATTAATAGCAAGCTATATTTTGTCCTAGGGAAATCAGTGATCCCAGGGGATTAGAAAATATTGATTATTATTGAGAAGTATAAAGAAATGGGGTTAAAAGTACAACAGAAATAAAAAGGAGTAAAATTAGAGCTGCCTCCGTGTGTATCCTTTGACAAGTTTAGAAATGGCACATTTATCAGATTTCTACCTATGTGTACACTTTTTTGCTGAATGTTTAGAAGAAAAACAAATGTGGTAAAAAGCATTCATTACCTTTCCAAAGGATCCCTGACCAAGAACTTTGAGCAATTCAAATTGCGCAGGATCTGCTTTCTCATACCCTTCCTTAACATGATGAGTAATAGGGATTTCTTTAACAACTCCTTCATCCTGTAAAAAGAAATCCAAGCAACAGTAAAATATAGTTGTAACATCTTATGATTAGCTCCATTTAGAAATCACATCAGAGATAATTTAATACCTAACTCCTTCAGTATTAACTTAGAGTTTTTCAGGCTACTAGTATCCCCATTTCCCCAGTCTTCTAACACATAGAGATACACTACCACCATCACCCCTATTATATAATTTTATGTAAACATAACATATAAAATCTATACCATGGGAGCTTTCCAATATATCATATAAATTCTGGTCTGGATAGCAAGAATGGTCTCAATCAATTCACCCATTAATTAACTGATTAATCAATGATGACTATGACCAAAAATGGACAAGAGCATGGTCCTAAGTAAGCTTGACTTCATGGCAGCTAAAATAACTTCCATGTTACATAGGCAGTCAGATATTCACTCTCTCAAGAGGGATATCTGGCAGAGGAATTTTAGTTTTAGGTATTAGGAATACTAATCAATCAGAAATGAAGAATAACTTCTGAAAGTATGTCCAGAAAAAAAGAAAGTATGTCTGTGAACGTTTCCTATTATATCAAAATAGTATGTCACCAAGTCTTTTAAGTAGCTATGAGAGTGAGTTTCCCCTTTTGAAGGGGTCTTTTTCTTAAAAAGTCAAGTATCTTTTTAAATGCAAATTCATCTGTTTTGTAGCCGATGTTTTGGAATTAAAGTATGGCATATCTGTATGTACCTTTGCAATACAATATATGTACACCAAAAGCAACATCAAATTGTATACTATTATTAATATTGTGGATAACTGATTTTACACCACATATTATGAATGTAGTAATGATCTTCAAAGCATGGAATATAACAAAATCATACTAACTGGAAGTTTTCTCCAGTGGAAAGAATGCTAGTAGAAGAGTCAAAAGACTAAGTTTTGCTCCTAGCTCTGTCATGCATAAGCCAAGCAGCCTTAGCCAAATCACAAACCACTCTACTTCAGTGTTCTCACATGGCAAACAGATTATGTTACATGGTTCTTTAAGGTCCTTTCCAAGTTTGTGATATTATATTGAACACAATACAGTACTTTTATGTTTAAGAAGGCACTTCAGTTTCTGCCATGTTTAAGATCATCATTATAAACATGGGTCATAATGACATCAGTTTTTAAAAAATGTTTAGAGCCAGGAAACAACTGTATTCTACTTAGTTTCACTGAACCCTAAGCAAGTCTTCAAATGCAAATGGGTGTCCAATGCCTCTTTTCTTAATTAAAATCCACACATGCCCATCCTTTAAAAATGCAGTATGTCTTGATTTTCAGCAGCATTATTCTATAAAATTTCCAATATGAAAATGCTATAGATTAGAAATGACAACTTTCCCCAGGAGATAGTTACCATAGAATATTGTTACACTGTACCCTAACAACTTATTACCTTGGCTTTCTCTCCCACTAGACAGTGAGCTTCCTGTATCCAGGTAATATCACATTCACCTCTGCATTCCTAATGATTAGCACAATACTTGTTTGATCTTATGGGAGCAGATAGCCAAAAAAAAACCAAACAATTTCATTAAAAGGGAATGAAGAAAAACTTACTTTTAAAAAGACAGATTTTTAATTTTTAATTTTTATTAAAGTATAGTCGATTTAGAATGTTAGTTTCATGTGTACAGTAAAGCAATGCAATTATACATATATATACATATATTTTTTAGATTCTTTTCCATTACAGTGCATTACAAGAAACTGAATATAGTTCCCTGTGCTATACATTAAGTCCCTGTTGTTTATCTAGTCTACATACAGTAATGTGTATCCATTAATCCCAAACTCCTAATCCATCCTTCCCCTCCCCCTTTTTCCCCTGGTAACCAGTTTGTTTTCTATGTCTATGAGTCTATTTCTGGTTTGTAAATAAAATTTGTATCTTTTTTTAAGATTCCACATAAAAGCAACATCATATGGCATTTGTCTTTCTCTGTCTTACTTCACTTAATATAGTAATCTCTAGGTCCATCCATGTTGCTGCAAATGGCATTATTTCATTCTTTTTTATGGCTGAGTAATATTCCATTGTGTGTGTGGGAGTGTGTGTGACATACACATATCACATCTTCTTTATCCATTCATCTGTCGATGGACAGTTAGGTTGTTTCCATGTATTAGCTATTATAAATAGTGCTACTGTGAACACTGGGCTGCATGTGTCTTTCTGAATTATAGTTTTCTGGATATATGCCCAGGAGTGGGATTGATGGTAAGTCTATTTTTAGTTTTTTAAGGAATCTCCATACTGTCCTTCATAGTGGCTGCACAAATTTACATTCCCATCAACACTGTAGGAGGGTTCCTCCTTCTCCACACCCTCTCCAACATTTATTATTTGTAGTCTTTCTAATAATGGCCACTCTGACAGGTGTTAGGTGATACCTCACTGTAATTTTGATTTGCATGTCTCTAATAGTTAGCAATACTGAGTATAGAAAGAAAGAGTTTTAAAGGTAAAATTAATCAATAAGAAACCTCAAAATTATTTTTAAATACCTTCTAAAAGCAGAAAAATATGTATGCAGAATTTATTTTTAATATATAAAGGAAATAGGGACACAGGAGATTCATTCCTGATAATGGAATTACGTTAATTTTGAATAGAAGTGACTTTGTGATGACAATATATCTATATTTAATAATATAAGCCTTTTTTTCCTTAGAGTATGAGGGATATAAACATTTTTCCAGATCAGATTTATTCAGGATCAGTATTTTTATTACAATGTGTTTTACTGAACACAAATGAAGAGCATAATAACCCCAGAATCTGTACTTTAAAAAATGCTGATATTAACTTATTGATTGGCCATCTTCCTTTTATAGGCATATATTCCTAGGCAAACAACTATATGTATTATATTACTGAATCATGGCTAGTTTGCCTTTAAGTAGACAGTAGTTTATAATACCCCAGTTTCAAATAAAAATCACTTATAGAATAAATATTTAGTATATATGTTTGGGTCCCACTCTCAAAGATTATGGTTCATTAGAACTAGGATGCAGCTCAGGCATTTGTATTGTTTTAAATGTCCCCAGATGATTCTAATACGTGGCCAGAATTAGAAAACACTGTTTAGGTGCTTCTAAAATATATACATATAGTTACATAGATAGATATGTACACAAATATATACACACATACACACACAAATAGCTACTTATTACAGAAGTGTTTTAGTATTTGTATGCTACCACCTCTTTTGTACCATCAAATTATCTGACACCCTCCTGTATCATCACTTCCAATATTGGTCTTTCTTATTTCATCTGCTCCTTATCCCATTCTTATCTATTGCCTGATATTTTTCAGCTTCCCCAAGGCTACATTTATTGATGCTTATTATTAAAATGTTCCTTTTTTTCTCACTTGCAACCTTCCTTCCGTCCCTCACCTCACTTTCTTCTGGTTCTGCACCATTCCAAAAGCTTGAGAATGGCAGCAATCTAGCTCAAAACAAGGTAGTAATGTACTTCTCAGTGATCCATTTATTTTTAAGAGTCAATCATCTTCCAAAAAATTTTCCTACCTTGGTATAATAAAGTTGTGATGTATCACCTTATCTTCTCATAATATACTCTTTTCTCTTTATTCACTCACTCAAAAAATCAACAACATTCATGAAGTACATGCTATGTATCAGGCACTATGCTACACACTGGGGATACAGAGATAAAATGTGGACTTGAGGATAGCAAATGTCAGAAATACCATGTCATTTAATAAAACAAAAAGGTGCACAATATATTATGGGCTGAAACGTGTCCCCTCAAATTCATATGCTGAAGTCCGAACTCCCAGTACCTCAGAATGTGACTGTCTTTGAAGACAGGGCCTTTAAAAGAAGTAATTAAGGTAAAATTAGGTCAATAGGGTGGGCTCTAATTCAATATGACTGGTGTTCTTATAAGAAGAAAAGATGAGGGTACAGACACATACAGAGGGAAAACCATGTGAAGGCACAGGGAGAAAACAGCCATCTACAAGACAAGCAGAGAGGCCTCAGAAGAAACCAACCCTACCAAAAACTTGATCACAATTCTAGCCTCTAGAATTGTGACAAAATAAATTTGTTGTTTAAGTCACTTAATATGTGGTACTTAGTTATGACAGCCCTAGCAAAATTATACACAGTACCTAATTATAGCTGATCTGTGTAAAAAAAAAGTTGCTACTGTAAAATGAAGATTTAATAACTCTGAAATAGGGACCACTATTCTTTCCAACATCAAATGACAAATCTGAGGCAAGGATGATTATGAGCTATTTTTGGAACTTCACAGCAATTGCTGATAAACAGAAAACCTATGAAGACTCAACCAAAACCAAAATAATATGCTCTAATCTCTACAATCTGTGATCATCTTTTTAATTCAGGGAGCTAACAATGCTTTAACACTGGAAAAACATACTGATTAAGTACAAAACGAACTACCAAATACACTACTGCTCCATTTTTTGACAATTGATTTGATTAGGAGGAAGAAATCATCTCTTAGACAGATGAAAAAAGAGTTGATGACAATCTATTAGGAATCCATACTATATAACTCCATTATAATTTCATAAGACTGTGGAACTAAGCGTAGATACCTTCCCAAAACACATCAAAACAAAAAAGAGGGATTTTTTTAAAAGCCTAAATTTTTGTTTTTATGTAATAATGCAATATCCATCTGTTCAAACATTTGCTTTATTTGTGGGTAGATAAGCCAGTTTGATCACACTGAAATCCCAAGAAGCATTTAAACTACAGATTTATTAAAACATACATGCAGAGATCTGGAAAAGTATCTTGGTGCACCCTTCTCATGGAGTGAATAATTCAGGGTCACTGAAAACAATACCAGTCATCAGCATACTTTGAAAGAAGGCTAACAGTAAAAACAATGTAAACGTCAAAACACATCAAATGATGCATACATTGGAAAGTAATTGCAGAATACTTAGGTTTGCAAAATTA